ATCAAAACTTGATGCATTGCTCGTTTCTATCTGAGCGTGACGTGGAAAGCGCGATTTCGATAGAGTCTTCCTCAACTTCATTCAATCACCAAACTGGTTCGCTTCATTACTCCCATTTGATCATAAACCGATGCCACACCTTTGGGCTGATGATCAGTGCCAGATTCTGCCTCAGGTGGAAAAGTTGAGCAGCTCGCCACACAGCGGGATCCAAGAGCTCATAGATGCCCGGGGGGTGAGTATTCTTTGAGTGGAAAGTTTGCCAAGAATTCGATCGACTTCCCCCAACTGGGTTCCGTTTGCTCTCTGCCTGCGTTCATCAATTTACCACTGCCTGAACTCGTTAGTTGTAAATGCTGACAATGGCGTGTAGTTAGCTGCATGAATGAACAGCTTTGTTGGTTGGGTGCAGATTGGAAGGCTCTCCAAAGACGAGCAGCAGATGCTGAATGATGTACGTGTGCTCTCCCCTTCTGCATCCCATGCCTTGAGTGTTTCGTGCGTCTGTGGTGAATCAGCGGCAGCCGTTCTTCATGCATGGGGAAACAAAGGTTGATGAACAAATCCATTCTTTCTTCCAACCAGCATCCGGTTCGCTGTTAGAGCAATGATAAAGTATGATTATCGAAATAACTATCAGTTCATTTAATGACCGAAAGTCATGCTGCCGATTGCCCTACCTACACATCTCCCATGAATTTAATCCACCCATCAATCGATAGGTTCATGAATTTATTGTTCTGTCTACTATGCATGTTATGATTCTATATAGTGCTTTTTCCGGCTGAAGGTATGCAGTAGCTGGCATGCAAAGTTTCCAGGGTTGCCAAGCGCCACTGACGCCAACAAATGCTACTAAATGCCACTGCCTTGTGCCATAGAGGCATTAACGAAATGCATTCACAGGAAAGGGCATATCGCCCCCCTTTCCCTGGAAATGAGTTCACATTAGCAATGCTTCGAAGCATTGAATTTAGTGCACCCCCCTTTTGGGCACGAGCTCTCCTGCTTGGCCATGCGACAATTGTAATCAAGCTTGGTCGACACTGCGTTAACGCTCTGTACTTGCGCTTGTTTATGCGTATAAATAGAAGCGCGAAAACACGGGTAGACTTAAAAATAGCCGATTCTGTGTTTACGCGTTTTCACACGTACAAATGCAAACGCAAAAACGACGCTTCAAATGTAAGGGGAAAGTCTGACTGTAACCAAAACTCGCACCAACGAACGTCATCCATCAACAAGCGGTCCACTCGACAACCCCTCGCCCGACGCCGTGGCCCGTCCACAGGATCTCATCCAACTCGCAAGCCAGCCGGAGGGCCCCTCCACAGAAGACGACGTGAAGGCGCTGCTGCTCATGGGCGCCGACCCCGACGCCTGCTGCGCCGGCGGCGGCGACACTGCCCTGCACCAAACCGCCGAGGGTGATAACGCTGTCGTGGCGAACGCCCTGCTGGAGGCGGGGGCCGACAGGGAGGCGGCGGACGACGGGGGCAGGCGGCCGCTGCACGACGCCGCGGACTGGAACGCGGTGGGGGTCGCCCAGGCGCTGCTGGCGGTTGGGGCGGACGTCCAGGCGAGTGTTGGGACGGGTGCGCGGGACGTGGGTGAATGTGAGTGCAAATGCACCTTTTGATGGAAGGACAAAGCTAGTACGAATTTTGCCTTCCTGGCGCGTACCTGCAACGAGCTAATGCCACGCGTCGCTTCATAATGTTCAGTGGCTTCTGGCAGCCAAAGTCCCTGATCTTAGCTGCCACGCGGGATGTGGGTGGGCGCATGTGCGCGTGCGTGGATGTGCGCAGGTGGGCTTTTGGCGGCTGAGGCCAAAAGATCAAGCTGGTACTGGGATTTGTTTCAGTATTGTTGATGAGGTCGTGGTTGTTCCTGCCACTGATGTTTCTAAACAGTGGCCTTAATTCGGTCAATCAATAAGCGCAACTACTTGCACATGCATACCTCAAAATGACTGTACGTATTAAATCACAAAGGGGTTGTATTGTGGGAGATTGTATATAATTTGAGTTTTGCTTGTAATGTGGGTTTGGCTGAATGCAAAGTGGGCCGGATTCAATAGCACTCCAATCCAATCCTAATATCACACAATATGTATATCGTTACAGCACTACCAGATTATAAATATATTGAAAACTTCCCCAATTTATCCCCTGACTTAGAGGAATGCAAGAAATACCTTTGCTCTTCAGCAGATCTCCATCGCCTTAAAACTGCGAGCTGATCGTGATACCGCATTTCACGAAAGCCGCTTTTTAAAAGGTTTCAAGACATTTGCAGTTGAATTCAATCGTGCCCGTTCGCCACCGCTTCCCAGGCAAGGAACGACTTCGGTTGGACGCCGCTTCACCTCGCGGCGTACTTTGGCAGCGTGGAGGTGGCGGAGGTGCTGGTGGAGGGTGGGGCGAACCGCGGCGCCACGGACGGCGAGGGGCGGACCCCTGGGGACCGAATATGCGGCTCAGGCGATTGCGGAGGGGTGAAGAGGGGGAAACTGGAAGCGCTGTTGCAAGGGTAAGTCGCTGGAAGGAATAGAAACGATGATGATGAAAGCGAACTGAAGAAATGAAGTTTTCATCCCCTTTTCATCCAGAAACGGACCCAGAAATGAAAGGGATGAAATGGAGCCGGAAATGAAACCGACGCGGAACGAGACCATGAAGTGGCGAGGAAGATCGGGCGCGGGGATTCCAAAATGGTGATATCATTCACGCCGCGAATTGGGTGCGAGGCGATAAGCGGGAAGGGGGTGCCGGAGTGTTTTCTAGGGGGCGGTGTAGATGAGGAGAGTAGTGGGGCAGGGAAGTTGGATTGGATGCTCTCGTGGCGGGTGAGCCAATTTCCGAGGTGTTTTCTGTTCTATCAGTGACGCATGCAACGGTTGGATTGCTTTGTTCGAGGGGAAGTGGAATCGATCTGTCGACAAGGCATTTTAAGGATGCTGGCGGAATGGATGGGCCGCCAGTGGTGCACAAACAGGGGGCCGGGGAAGCGCCACACGGCGAGCAGAGCAGCAAAGGCGTTTATGGTGAGCCTGTTTAATACACTTGCGGTTGCGGAAGTGTGTAGCAGTCCGGGGCAATGGCGGTATCAGAAGGGGAACGAGAACTGCTGGGAAAATGATCATGACTGGCGATTGTGGACGCTCAACAGGGAGGCTTGTGAATGAGGTCGATCCCGCTGGGGCGCTGCTGGTGGGAATTGACAGGCCTGGGAGGGGCGCGGGCTGGAGGGAAATTGCACAGGAAAACAATGTAGGAAAATCGAATTCATCAAAAACACAAATCAGTACATAGCAATGAGGATCCGGGCCTTGAATTTCATGTGGCTGTGGTGGCGCAAGTCCAGGGAAGGAATGGAGGGGCCTTTGTACAATGAATCGGAATTTTGCCATCGCTTCCCGATTGTTGGGACGAGGTACTGTGCGGGTGTGGACAATTGGCTCCGGAGTGAGCTGCAGCCACCGCGAGGTGGCTGAGGTGCCGAGAGGCTGCCGGATGTCGAAGGAATGGGGGGCGCAACTCACGGCAAGAGACCCATTTCCGTCTCTCCAATAGTTACATCGGATTATAGTTACATCGGAATATAATAGTGGTTGAGGTCCTGAATGAGGAAAATATCGAGATGAGAGCTGGAACTGAGCTGGTAAAAGGGCTACCCCTGCAAAAATGGCTATCCGTTGCATTGTCCTGCATATTGTAAATGTGTATACACATATCCTATTGGCTGCAGCTCGGCGTTAGGAAAGACTTCATCTTTGTGGAACGGTATCAGTGGTGGGTTCTTGAGAAGGGGCGGAGGTTCGAATGTGGATCTTTGAAGAAGCGTAGATCGTTCAGGTGCGGGTTCCATGAGCTTGTTTTGAAGTGCGGTTGCTGTTCGGTTAAAGTGGTTTAAAGTGGAGATGTCAGGTGTATATAATGCGAACGATTTAGTCACGGTTTGCAATAGTTTCTGCTATTTAGGTAATGGAAGTTGATATTCCATCTGTTGCACTGCATGTTAGCGACTGCTTCATCCCAAACTATGTTTGGCACGTGTGGGGGTGGCGCAATGTGGGATTCATTGCCACAAGAGTCCAGTCGTGGATGGGATAACAGGTGAGCGTGCATCAGCTTAGCTTTCAGTTGAAGTCGCAAATCTCTGCCAGATTGTCAGGACGCTGTTGGTGACTTGTCGCCAGAAGCTCGAATTTCTTGTCAATGGAAAAATCAAGTAAGATATAATACGCATTCGTCGGCGGCAGTTGTCTGGTGGCCAAGCAGAAACCAGTTTGGATGACATACGTCGATGGTGGAAAATGCACACATCCTCTGCTTCGAACATAACGACGACCTTGTGACGTTTGCACTAAGGTTTTACCATCACTGCAGCTCATTTACGCTACGCATGGAAGCCGATGCAGCGCTTGCTGAAAACACGATTGTAGGGTACGGTTGGGCATCCAAGCGTCGGCAGGGTTCAAAATTTCAAGGCTTTCATTTCATGTTCCGTTCTGGTCGAGTGCCATTAACTAACCAAGTTTTCCGTGACTCGTCTCACAGCACCAGAAACGCGCTGGGAGCTCACGCAACCGCTGCTGCTATTCAGCCCCGGGGTCCAAAAATGCGCAGGGCCGAGGCCCAAACGCTTACGGGGTCAAAGACACATCAAGAAGATTAACCATCCCTTTGGAGGGGCGTTCCAGGCGATGCGACGGGCACTCCGCCGCGATTATTTCATCGGTGAATCAATAAACAAATCGTGTACGCCCTTTTGCTCGGGCAACATGGGAGGCCGGCGACTACCCCACCCCCCCCCCCCCAAATCGCCACGCAAACTTTCACGCTGATGGCGATAGCTATTTGTCCAGCCTGTTACTGACCAGATCGCCGCCCCCTTCCGGCGCCCGACCGGAGCATCCTTTCAGAAAAAGTGGTGCACCAAAGCACTGCAAATGCTGGGCGCTGCCCCGCATTTCCCGAAGGCAGGCTCCTGGCTCCTCAGCCGGACAGCAGCCTCACCATGGCTTCCCTGGTGCCCGCGTGCTCGCAGCCCCCTAGCGGGCACACCCACAAGTCAAACGCCTCCCCCGTCTCCGCGCAATCGCACGCCGCCCCGGCAGCGCCCACCCCTTGGTCGCTCGCCACCGACGGGTCCGCCCCCGCCTCCAGCAGAATCCTGGCGGCTCCCAGGTTGCCCTGCCTGGCCGCCGCCAGCAGGGGCGTGGCCCCAAGGAACCCCCGGGCGTTCACGTCCCCCCCAGCCTCGATCAACATTCTGGTGACTTTGTCGTTGGCCGGACTGATGCTGCCGGACACGGTGTGCAGCGGCGTGTCTCCCAACCCGTCCATCCTATTAGGACTCGCGCCGCGTAGGAGTAGGAGAGACGCTGCCCGGATGTTGCCCGAGTGGGCGGCTTGGCTCAGGGGCGGCTGGATGATTTGAGAGGTTATGCGAATTGGTTGGGCGGGACGGCGCTCCGAATTGTCGGCTGTGCCGCTGTTGGGGTCTGCGCCGGCGTCTAAGAGCGTGATCAGGGAATCCGCTGCGTCGTCGTTCGTGGCGGCCCAGACCGCGGCATTCATGGCCGTGCAGCCATCGCCGCCGCGCGCCTCCAGGTCGGCGTTTCCCCTGATGAGGACCTGCAGTGCCAAAAAACAGCTTACACAGGGCACAAAGCTTTTGCTTCATGCAATCTGCCCCTGAATCACCCATGCATTTGTCTTGCTGCGGCTTTTCAATCAGGCAGTTTTTCGCTTTTGTTGCAAGAGCATGCGCCACTTGAAAGAAACCGTATTTGCGCCAGAAAGAAACACACGCTTCACCATGTTGGTGTAAAAATCGAGCCGCCTGATGGGAAATCTGCAGCAAGGCAAATGCGTGTGTGATCCAAGGCCAGATTGCTGCGTTCCTTCTTATTGCATTCGACAAGAAAAGCCAGTGCCCTTGCGCGTTATTGGCGACGACGGGTGTGTATACATCCAAGACTGTTTTGTGCCTGGCCTCCGTGCATCAATTGCGGATTCGATTGGGCGACGGCATCGCGATTGTATCCAGAAGAGGTCGGTCTGTTCCTAGAGTCAACAGGACGTCAGGCGGGGCAAAGCTCCCCAGTGCCGCCCCTAGTTGAGGGCAAGCTGATGAGGCTGAAGGGAAATGATGCAGAATAACGGTTGCTTACTTTTTAATGAAACACAGAAAGCATCAAGTAATACAGTGAATTTAGGAATTGGTACCTTTCTGCCGCAGGACACCGGTGCAAACAAATCACACAAGATGTGTAGTATTATTTGATTCGCTACCACCGACAACAAGGCATACGGCGATGCACAATTGTCAATTGCTTTGTTCAAGATCGAGTCCATTTTACTATTTGACATTGCCCATTTCACAATAGTCAACATACTTAACACGGCTTGGAGGAAGATAGAATCTGTAAAACTGATACTTTGACGCCTGCCAAATCCGTGGCCCCTGATCCAAAGGAGTTACCACAATCACAGACGCAAATCGCTGCGACAGTGTCAGCAGTACATTGAATCAGCGCTAGACATAAACCAACATAAAATTTGATTAAACTCAAAGTTAACTGCACCTTCACAACATGTTGGTGTCCTTGGCGGATTGCCTCTATCAGCGGCGTCGACTGCGCCGTCCCAAATTTGGCATTGACGTCGGCCCCCGCCCTCAGCGCCCCTTTGACGATGGTAACGTTTCCATCAGCTGCTCCCTGCCACAGCTCCTGCCGCCACGTCCAAAACATATTCGCAAAAAGGCTCCCAAGCATTGCTCCTGCCATGCGACGCACTGTCCAACTTGCGTGTTCAGTGGCCACAGAATGACCAGGCATATCAACGATAATGAAGCCGATGCGATTTGAGCGGCTGCATCTTCAAAAAGGTCTCTGTAATCTACAGAGGACTTGTCAGTGTCCTTCATGCGCTGTGTACTTCGTGTACTTATCCAATCCATCTTCATCACACAATTTTCCATTATCCAAGACGAAAAATTCATGTTAAATAGTATATCCCCAACTACCAAGCACTCGCACACGGACCCTCCTAAAATTGATGCAAAATAGAGTCCCCGTCTATAGGTTGTTAGTATGTGCTAACGTTGACAGGCAAACTCACCAATTTTCTACAACGGAATATTGAAAAGTGTAGGGCAAAAATGAAATAAGGAACAACAGTTGTCAATACCATTAAGGAACATGCAAAAATTCAAAAAACAATAACGAAAGCCCAAGAATTAACGGGGGAAACAAAAAAAAGAGGAAACATCGGGCATACAAAACACTTTGACTGTGCTTCTGATCTCATTGATCCTCCACTCGCCTTGTCTGTGTATAATTGCAGTAGTCTTCGAGTCGGCAGTGGACCTGGAATTGCATCATCGTTCAGCACAGAAATAACGAACACACTTTCAGGCAAATATCCCATAAACTTGGTACTGGGGATCTCCGTTTCGTACCCTTTTACAGACAGGACCTCGGCAATGGTAAGAAAAATTGAAATAAAAGCTCCAAGATGTTAACTGCGCCATTACGTCGTTTTACAAGCAGAAGATGGCCGTGTTACAATGTTCAGCTTCCGCTCGAGTCACCCAGATCAGGAAAATACTAGGACTCTAGTGTGAAGATGATCCCGGGCTCTTGGCGGCGTTGTGCTGTGCCATTTGAGCATTTAAGGTATCGCTGCTGCTCACTACATCTGACAATGCTTGCTAGAGTTGACTAGTGCCAGAGGCGTCTCACGCCACTAGACTAACGGAAGGCACTAAAATCAGGGGAGCGGTTGCGCATTTTCCTTCAGCAATGAATTGCCGCTGCTAAACAAACAATTTGCCAACAAACATACTTGACTCCACAAAAACTGCTTATTCAGTATGTCAAGTTGCACGCGCCATTGATTTGTGCGACTTGCGCACGTATAGATATGGTCCAAAATTAGCAGTGCCTCCTCCACAAGCGTAGGCCCACAGATTATAAATTGTCTGTCTTGTACTGGCTGTTCTTACTTCAAACTCCATCCAAGCAATAACCTGCCATCTTTAGCCGGTGGGGCATTTACATCACTTCCGCGGCCGTCTCACCTGCAGACTGCAGATCATCGCCGCTCGCACTGTGCATTTCAGGAACGACGCCGGGCCTGTGCAGCAGCATGGCAGAGCAACGTCTTGGCGGTGGCATAATGTTTTCAAAAATACATTTACAATCATTATGATATTACTATAATTGAGACCTCACAATTGTTGTGTAAAAGATCATGCCCCCTTGAACATGATGGAGCGCCAGTAGAATCAACACTGTGGCTTCGATTAATAGAACATGTGCCATAAAAATGACCAAAAAATCAGAGAATAAGTGAGTTTTGTCCACTATTAAGCAATGGACAAAAAAATAATGTACTTTCAAAATTAAATTTCAAAAAGGCCCTACACGTGACAACGCCGTCACGAATCCGCTCCTTTGTCGGCGCAGGGGCGCCCCCTGTTCCGTTGCGCAAGCAATGCGATATTGTGGCTTCGACTGCACTGCTGCATGGGGTGTCTTCGGGGTGAGCTGGTTTCTCAGGCACCGTCCATGGTTTATTGCATGTCCAGAATAACGGGAAGTGACATGGGGGGTGTCTGCATCCCAGGCAACAGTAGTGAACTTGCAAGTTGGCCAATTGTGAACTTGCCAATCGGCGATGCCAAATGTGATGCCTTTTGACACAAATTCAACTAAAGATTTGGCGATGCTTGTTGTGATGTCGTAAATGGTATCGCAGCTGGCATCGCAAAGTGATGATTTCTCCTCATGGGACATAGCATGTTCTCGATGCCAGCAATTGGGGCCATCAGGCCTGACAGAATTTGCATGATTAGTGCCGTGTCCCCGCCCCAAACAAGACGCCCGTGCTGCGCTTGAAGAAGGCAAATAGCTAGTTTTGGATGTGAGCAAGCTTGGGAGAACGCAATGCGCGGATCGCGCCACTGCCCTTTCTTGTTCGTCGGAAAGCGTTCGTCTCGAATCTGTGTCAGGATGTGATGGGGCATTGAGCCGTTTCCGAAGGCCACCCTACTGTAATATGGTTTAGCCCGTCGGCATCAAACAATTTTGCCGTTGCACTTTGGCCCCGCATTTTATCAGAGCGTTGTATTGGTTTTTTCCCGTTGCTCCGTAAAAAAACAAAGAGCCTTATTTATTTCATTGTTTTCTCTGCGGAAAGGACCAGCGTTACGTTACTATGCTGAAGGGTTGAATATAGTAGGGCGGTTGTGCCACTTGCTCTTCAACCATCCAAGACAACGTGGCAGGCATGATGAAGCCCCACCCCACCCTACCCCTTGTAGTGGAGCTAATTCAGGAAATTTTTGCAAGCTCTGCAATGCGACAAAATTTCAAGATTTCAAAAGTCATAAACTCTGCAAACGAATAGTCACTCACATTAATGGACACGGCTTCAGAATTGCTTCTGATGGGTGTGAGGGCGAGGAAATTATGGCAAGTAGTTATAGTGGGAATGGTGTCAAATATGGTGTGACTTGATACGGTGAACATGGTGATAAACAAACATGGTGTGCATGGGGGCAGTGATTACTAACTGGGAACATTTCCTGCGAACAGTATTTGGTGGATGTGCTTGTCTTGTAACGCATCTGCTTACGGCCTTGCTTCCCGTGCCTGGGAGCGGCCGAGTGCAGACAGAGCGCGAACGGTCAACGTAACAATGGGAATTGGTGGGTGCTGGCGTTGCGCCAACAGCGCATGCTACTGCTCGAATAGGCGAGCAGCATTGCTGGCTGCTCCATGTTTCTGTCGCGTGTCTGGGGAGATATTTGTGCTGGCAGATGCGAGCTCGGGTCCAACCGTGCGTCGTGGAAGCGGTGCAATTTGCCCATCTGTTTTACTGAAGATGGCACAGGGGATGTCTGACAGAGGATCGAACCGGTTACCACCGGTTGGGGCGTCCCACTGTTCCACCAAACCATCTGGACCACTGGTAGGAAGAGGGTAGTCGGACCACTCACCCTAAAGTACTCAACCCGTCCGCTTCAAAAAGTTTTACTGTCACGCGTTTTGCTCCCCAGTTCTTTCAGAGCTTTACTATTCTTTTCCTGTTGCCCCCCATAAGCTTCACTAAATTTTCTCCGCGGAAAAAGGCCAGGAGCTACGTTACTATGTGGAAGGGTTTAATATTTTTCGGTAAGTATCCTTCCACCCAGCACTATCCCACCGAGCATTGGCACAGGCAAGCGTGTGCGGGATGCACAGCCGGACGCCAAGCACGACACGGCAGCCCCACAACATGACGCCATGCAGCGAATCGGCCCATAGCGCGCACAGTCAGCAAATCCGTGACGCGTTCATGACGGAGGCGACGCCTTTTGACGCCCCTCACAGCACTGGCCACAGTACAAGGGACTGGCATGGGGCCCAAGCAGCACCACTGTGACCCCATGTGGGCTGTGCAGGGTCCCCATCGCCCCTGTTGCCGCCCGACGTCTTTCTCTCAACACTCCATCTCACCACCGACACGGAGGAAGTCTTATTGGGGAAGCCTTCCGCCAGACACGGAGGGGCAGACCGCTGCCCCTCCGCGACCGGGAAAGCGACGCCGCCGCAAGAAAAATGAGGGGCGCGCGACGTGTCAGT